GCAAACCAGGCTCTTCCTGGGGTCCTGGCTGGAGCTGGTGGAGCTGGCAGTGAGGCTGTGACACGTGTGAATGCATGTCTCCCTGAAATGCTTCCTAACCCCGATACATCCTAACTAGAGGAACTGGCAAGGGGCACGAGCAGCAGATGCCTGAGCCCTGCGGGGCTCCAGCACGCAGGTAGGACCCTGGTGCACGGCTGCGTTGTGGCTGGCCAGATGTTCAGAGGGATGAGAGGGCTCACCAGGCATACAAGGTGCAAAACACACACAGGTGAGCCTCACCAGCCAGCTCCTTGCCAGTAAAAAACCCCTCGCTGTGCAGGGCACCTTGCTCAGAGCACCCAGAGCTTTGGCGCTGTGTTTGTTTTCCCTTAAACTACTATTATTTTTTTTTAATAAGGTTAAAACTGAGGTTGGTGGTGTTATCACGCTTGGTGATTCAGAAAAATACTGTACTTTCTTAGCAGTAATGGTTCCCACTAAAATTATATATTTTTTTTTTCTTAAAAGAAGTGGAATTGAGAAAAGCATGTTGATTAATGATATTCTGAGACTTGTCAGTTTAAAGCCAATTTCACACTGATTTTTTGGGTAATTCTCCAAGTGCAGTCATACAAGCGTTTCTAAAAATCCAGAAATACTAACCAGGAGCACAAATAGCAAAACAAACCTAGGGTAGATTTTAATCTATTGATTCAACCTTTCTTTTGAGAAATATGGGAAGCCCAAACTAAAATGTTTAGAATGATATTGGCAGAGTATAAACAACCGTGAGATAGACAGAGCTCCAAACCACATAATTTGCATGATTTTCTGTCAAGTTTTGAAGGTTATTGTGACAAACGGGATGTGTTCTTTGGACACTTGTATTGATTGCTAGGAGATTTTGTACTTTAATGCAGATGGCAGCATGAATATACAATGTTATTTCATATTGCTGTTCTGACAGCTGAAGTAAAATTGTGAAGTTAGAAAAAATGTGATGAATACTTCCAGGGCCAAATTTCCACTTAACTTGAGTTTGGAACATTGCTTAGGTGGTTTGCATTATCCCATGCCCTGGGATGAGAGGTGTTTCTTTGCTTTTCTTCCAATAATTAAATATCTGAGAAGAAAACAACATTGAAAGTTAGATGACGGTAAATTGGGGAAACCTGCAAAGGAAAAATCACCTTGGTTGGCATAGTGTGGCCCATTGATGCTACTTTTGTTGGGCTACATTTCTACTGGCTAAGTTCTTCTGTGTGTCAGAAGCATGACCCAGAACATCATATATTTGGGTATGTGATTAGCAGCAAACTTGTCCCCTTGCCCATATGCCTCCTGGATTCAGAATGAGAGACTTCAACAGTTTGGTCTACTAAACATTTCTGAACTGAAATTACAATTTTCTCCTTTGTCCCCTCACGGTCCCTCAGCAGAATTGCCATTTATTTATTTTTTTTTAATAATTCTCTGTGTACCTTAGCAAAACACGAGGTAAGCGATTCCTCTGCCCATGGTGAACACGTTACACTGGAGGCGTGTTTCAGACCTGAGCAGAGCTTTCTTCTCCCACTACGGCTTCCCCAGCTCCAAAGCTGTGCTCTGAATTAGTTAAAGCTCTGAGTCAGAGGCATAACGAGTGGTTCTCAATAGCATTAAAAGCCAGAGAGTACCCAGGGCCACTTGCATGAAGCAATATGCTTTACACTAAAGGATTGGATTTGCCTTTTTCGAGATGGTCTATCACTTCACACGCTGTTGTCTTCAAAATGGAATGTGTTTCGCTCAGAAGTGCTCACACCTCATAAGTCTGTAATTGCCTCCTGCATTAAAGCAGTGCTTCAGCAGTTCGACTGTTTTAGTCCAACCACTTTTCACACATGGTTGTCTTGAAAGTGCAATAGAGTTTGAGCTATTTGACTCCATCCGACTTGCAATTCTTGTCTTATCATCTGAGAGGACACCAGCTGAGATTGTGTTCGCTTCCTCTGACTAACACTGGACTTGTTTCAAAATCCCTCTGCAGTATTTTATATCTTACAGGCAAAAGACAGTGCTTGCTAGAAGGGTGACATCTTTTCATTTCCTCTAAGAATGAGGTCAAGTGAGTAATTTGCACAAAATCCCCCAAAAGACAGTGCGGATATTGATGCCACTCTCATGAACGGGTAATTAAGGAAGGCTTAACTTTTATGTTTAAGATATGATTCAATATCATTAACCTAGTGGCAAGAGTTGTGCCTGGGTGCTGTCCCCCAAAACTTTTGTTTCTTTATAGACCACAGACAGGTAAAAAATACGTTTCATGTATGCTAGAAAAATCAAAATAGTCTTCATGAATATGCTGGAGAAAATGATATTTTCCTTGACATTAAGGACATTGAGATTAAAAAAAAAAAAAAAAGTAAGTGCAGTAAAATGAACTTTTTTTTCCCCATGTGGTTTCTGGAAAAGTAAGCACAGATGATGTGTAAATGATATTTAAAAATAGGGTTATTTCTATTAAAAAAAAAAAAAAAAGGAACAATTTGAACTGTCTTCCCTCTGAAGATCTTGTCAGCATAGATTCATAAAGCTGCGCCAGTCAACAAATTGCTGAAGACTTGCAGTTAAGTTCAAGTATTTATAATTGAGAAATTGTAAAAGGTGCTGTTCCCACCCTCACATATGGAAGGATGGGATAATGACCCTGAACTTTAGGGCTGGAACATTTTGGCTGTGCTGATAAACTTCCTTGATGCATTTTTAGCACCTGGTTGCACCTCTGCCCTGACAGAGGAGCGCTGCTGGTCCTGCATGGTGTGATGGTGTCTTCCACATTAACATTGACTTATCCCACCTGTGGGCTGGCAGAAAGTTTTTATTTTTTCAAAGCCCATCACAGCAGCTCTACTTAGAGAAGGACGAGCTGGAAAGTGGGGCTGGTGGGGTCACACCATGTCCCTCCTTCCTTCTGCTCCTCCAAAGTGGGACTGATGTGGTGTTGGGCTTGGGTGTGCACCACCAGCACAGCACAACTCCAGCAGCTGGTTTTCCCCTCCCTGAGGCCAAATTCAGGTTTTCCTGGAGGGCAGTGTGTGCCTGCACTGCCCACTGCCACGGGCTGTGTCTTAATAACGCTGAAAAATATGGAGATGTGTAAGTGGGTTTTTATTTCTTTGCTTTTAATAAAATGTCTGCAGTGCTGCTTGGGAAGGTCAGGTCTGTTTGACACTGCCAGGCTGCTGGTATTCTTGGAACAACCATCTGTTCAGAGCGCAGTGAAAAATTGGTTTGTGACTGCCCAAAGTCACTTTAGCTCATGAATAAAACTTAAAAGAAAAAAAAATAATAAATAAGGCACACCAGTATTTTGCACCTAAAACAACGAAATTGCAATTTGAAAAATCAGCGTTTATGACCGTGACTCGGTGAGCGGTGGTTTCTTAGTGATCTGCTTGAGGTGTTACCAGCCAAAAGGAGGACATGGGAAATTGAGCCCCTGGGACTGTCACCGTGTGGCCAAAAAAATCTTGGTCACCGGCTCAGCTGTAATGAGTTGCACAAGGGCACGCGGGAGGGAGGTCAGCGACCAGCCATGGTGAACCACGCTGACTGACAGAGCTTGAAATAAGCAAATAAATAACCTGAGCAGCGCTCTCCTGTCTAAAGCAGAAACCAGTTATAGATTATTTTTCCTTTCTCTCTGCTACATTAATACATTATATTAAATTGTGAAAACTTTGACAGTTTGAGACAGTTCCGACTCCTTTCTCCATTTCTTTATTCCTTTCTTTTTTGCTCCTGGCAACTTTCACATTTCCACTTCTCTCCACTTCTCTATCTTATTCCTCTTTGTGGGTTTTCATGTTCTTAGCAGCTGCTGTATTTTCATCTCTGTTTCTCCTCTTCTTCCCTTAAGGCATGATCCAAAAATAAGAGCCAGCGACTCCTGTGGATTTTGTAGTTGTCTGGTTGGGCCCAAAATGTGCCATTTTTCTGTCATTATGTTCTACAAGTCAAATACTTGCAGACCAGCACAGCTTTTATCTGCTGCTTCTTTGCTAACTTGAGACTGTATCACTGCTTAAATCAGGGAGAGTAATTTTTACTCAAATGTGAAGTGTTGATTAATGTGTGTGTTTTTCAAATTCACTATGGATTATTTTTTTTCCGCTGAAAACAAGTATTGTGGCATTTAAAAACAAAAACAAAAAAAAAATAATGAAAGGAATAATGATGTTTAAAAAATGATCTTGGCAATGAAGGGAAGGAGAAGTGGGTTGACGTTTCTGCAGGCTGAGTGTTTCAAATTAGCAACTTTTCTGGAGGTGTGCTTTGGGACCTGCTGCCTTTCTGCTCCGTGCCACCGGGTGCTCCGTTTGGTGCCGTATTCAGAGAAAGGGCAAAGCAGCGAGTGTAAGGGTAAGTAAGGAATAAGGGTAGGCGAGGCAGGCCATATCCAACCAGCTGGGGGGACTGGCAGACCCCTCTTATCAGCACCCAACTTGCTTCCAAACCATGTATGGATGGGACATTGGAGCGCGGCCACGCATGGCCACCAGGCACCGGCCGTACCCACCAACGGTGGGGCAAGGGGCTGGCAGCCCAGGGGAGCTTCTGCCTGGTTCAGACGGGTCGGTTCATCGCCCTAAAGCGGAAATAAGAAGCTTTGGGAAGATACCGTGCGTGGCAGGCTGCTGAAAATGATTAAAATTACAAAAAAGCTTTCTGGTGTGGAAAGTTTCATTAAAAGTTACATCGCTGAGTTCAGTTGCAATTTAATAAGAGATAGCGTCTCCGGCTTCTTAAAATTTAATTTGATAGTTTATGAAGGAAATAATTAAAACATACTGTTGCTTCAGTCACTTTTTATTTCATATAAAGCCTGTATAGAAGTGTGTCACTCATACCACAGTGAGAGCTGATATTGGTCTGCAAATTTTGTTTATCCTTATTGACACAGCACCCACTAACCTAAAGTAAATGGGAAGGAAATGATTGGATTTTTTTTATTTTTATTTTTTTAATAACAGGTAATCTTGACCTTGAGGCTACATAAAGTGGAAGTTAGTGGAAAGTCTGGAAAAGCTGCATCTTTCTGGGGAAAAAAAGGATGGTTTTGGTGCTTCAGAGTAACCTGCTGCTGCGTGTCCCCAGGAGGTAGGGAGATAAGCCTAGAGTGCGTGGCCCCTTGCTCATCACAGAGTGTGTTAGTGCACCAAAAGTTGTGCTGTGTCGTGTGGAGAATAACGCCAACAACAGCAATGTGCCCGTGGTTTCCATGCCATGGTCACTAATTAATGTCTCCTCTTCAATACTGCTCGCTGCAGGGCACGTGTGCAGCTGTACCGGAGAGCAAAACGCAACCCGGTGCCTGTTCACTGATCCGAGGGCTGGATGATTAAAAGCTTAATGCTGCAGGCTGTGTTCCCCTGGGCACTGCCACTGCCTTCGTCCCCTGTCCGGCACGCTGACATTACTGACACAGTTTGTTTTGGGGACACGCACCAGAGGAACAGCATCTTCCCGGCACTTACTGGGGGCGCTTGCTGGAGCACCTTTTGTTCAACATTAAACTTCTCGTGTCTCTTCCCAGGCCTCTGCCTCCTGTTGTGACAAAAAAATGTTCAAGAGCTTCATCTCGAAGCCGTGACAATAGCTTTCAGAGAGTGTTTTGAAGATTTTATTTGCCTCTGGAATAGTTTTAATCAAAGTATTTTTTTTCTATCAGTTTTTGGACACTTTACAGTTTTCAGTAGCTGCCTTGAATCAAGTCCATGAGTATGTCTAACATGCCAAAAATAGATTCAGCTGAAGCCTCTATTACAATTATCACTTTGGATTTCTGTGCCACTTACCACTTAAGTGGTTTACAAGCAATTACAGCCCAAATCTTCGAGAACCTGTTGGAAGCAGAGCATTTCCTGCCCCGGGTTCACAGAGAAGTGGAGCAGCTCGGTGCGATGCTGCTCTGCCACCAGCTGAGCTCTGGTACCAGAGGAAGGGAAGAGGGGAGGATGCTCCTCGGTAATCCAGCCCCAGCAGACATGCCCATGGTAACAGAGCAGCAGGGGCAGAAGAGGAGAATCCAGATTCCCTGCATTCAGTCCTATCCCAAGAGCAAACCAGCTTGAGTGCTGCTGCTGGCAATCCCTCTTCTGTTCTTGAATTCTGCTGGGAAGGGTTAAAAGCCCTTAAGCCAGATAGATGGAAAGACAGATAGATATTCACGTCGCTGTTCGTGTAAAAGCAGCATCAAATGAGAAAGATTAGCTATGTATTTGGCAAGCTGCTTGCATATGTCACATTTAATCCCTTCATCATGGCTTCTTAGTACCGAGCAGATTATTAGCGAGTAATGGAATGGTGTGAGAATACCTGGTGGCATTATATCTGCATCTCCCCTTTGTTATTACCTTCAGGAACGGATAATGTGAACATGAAATAAGAATTACCCAAGGATTGTGTTCAATGCAGGACCTGAGAAGCCTCCTGGAGGGGAACTGCTGCAACAAAGGACTTTCAGCAGACGTTGGCTGGGCTGGGCTGTGTTGGGGTCCTGCTGGAAGGGCTGAGTCCAGGAATGGTGTCTGAAATGTAATATTGCTTTGAATTCAGAGCACGGATTTGAGAGGACATTTTCAGTCACATCTGGGAACTGTAGGACCAACACTAATGTTCAAAATGTAATGTTTTGTGGTTATGCAGACATGCAGCATTATTCTGCCTTTTCTGCTCCAAAAGCTACGATGTGCAGCAATATAGGACTGAAGAATCCGAGCACTGTTGAAAAGACATCTTATTTTTCCTTTAAGGTTGCTTAATTAATTTCTTTCAACTTCTTTATACTGTTTGATGAATGTTATTTCAAACTACTGTCAAGGGAAATGTGAGGAGGGAAAAATGAACCACCTACATACTGCTTCGAATACAATTGTATCTCCCTTGACAAACAGAATTTAAAAAAAAAAAAAAAGGTGTTAGCCCTATATGCATGACAGAGAGGGTTTAGAATAATTGTGCTTGTTTCTATTTTAATTATCCTTGTCAGGACATTTTGTAAAACACACAAAAAAAATTATAAGTTAAATAAAAATCAGAGGCAGGCCAGGATATTGGAGGCTCCTCTTTCAAACCAACAAACCCAGCCTGTTTCCATGATGTGCACTCTCCACAGACCCTTCATGCCATATTCCCTCTGAAAGAAAAATGAAGGCATCTGATTTTTATGAAATTTATTATGAATCTGGTGGGTTTGAAGGTTGGTAGGTATCTACTTGAGGAACTCTAACAAAGCTGGAGAGCTGTGCATCTCGCGTTTAGAAGAAAGCCTCCAGACAGAATTAGATGGATATGTTTTTGTGCCCGTTTCTTATCATGGTTTAAACTGAAAGGCCGTGTATTTGTTGCTGCTAGTGCTTTAGGTTCTGTTTGTGTTTGGAGATGTCTCACCGCAGACCCTAGACTGACACAGAAACACGTCCTCAAAGCAGTCACAACGCAAGTGGGTATGAACAGAGAAGGGCTGAGTCCTGTTTTTAGGTTTGGGAACTGTCCCTGCGTTGGTTAAAGATGGGGCCAGAGGCTGCTGCAGTTGGTGGCTCTGGGGTTTTGTGCATAAAAACCTGCCAAATGCGAGATTGGGCTATTAGCAATGACTCCAATTAGTACAGTTCCTGGGCTGGGTCCAGGATCTAGAGTTTGCAGGGAGGTTGGTATGAGCGAGTCAGTTGTTTGCTGCCTGCACACAGCTGTGTACTTGACTTAGGCGGAGCTGCAGCTTCAGGCTTAGCTTGCCGGGGTGTTTCTTCCCTCGCAATGCTGAGTGAATAATTTACAGATGAAGTTTGTCTTTTTCTCACATTTATATTTGCCATTTCAAAAATCTTTGCTGAATAATTTATCAAAATAAGCCTTTTTCTTTGGCTTTTTTTTGAGCAGGCCGTACAAGAAGTTTCTGCTGCATAATTGGAGGTTCCCAGAACCAACTTCCTCCTGCGAATGCACGCCAATTTAAAGTACCTGCTTCATGAATATTTGCTGTAACCTGAGTGAGTTACTTGGGAAAAACTTTCCGTTCTGATGAATGTTTCTGCCAGGAAAGTTCTCTTTTACAGTATTTGTGGAAAACACACAAATGACAAGGACGCAGTTGAAGTCTCTTTTGCAAATGCGTTTGAATATTCATGATGCATATTTTAATATTCGCCCATTTTCTACTCATGTGAATGCGGCAGTTCTGTTTTAAGGTCGAATACAGCTGTGGCAGTTTATTTTGTTACCAGAAATGTTAATTTCAGAAAAAAATAATGGTGCGGGATTTGGCCGGCAGGAATCCTACTGCATGACCGAGGCCTTAAACAATCCCATAAATCACGGAGCTGGTCTTTCTCCTGCCTGGGTAGAAAATCTTGGGGTAGGACATGTGCCCTGCTTTGGGGGCAGTGATTGGGGCTGTGCTGCAGGGGATGCTCTGAAGTGCCCACTCCCCTCTGCTGCCTCACTGCTCATCCCCCCCGGTGCTCCGGGGACTCACATCGTGCCATGGCTGAAGAAAGACAAGGGTGGAAGTGCTTTGGGTGCAGCAGAGCCAGAAAGAAATTAATTTTCAATTTGAAGCAAGTGCTTGTGAAAGCCGTTCCCTGCTCTCTTTGCTCGGCACGCGGCGTTCAGCACCTCTCTCCATTCATCTGCTGCCTGTCGAGAGCTCTTCAAATTGTCTTATGGGGAAATTTCCTCCTACACGTTATTTGAACATTTTTTCCCTATCTTGATAAACTGATGTGGCCAGCAAAGATTACTTCTTTACCCAAATGGCAAGCACTATTTCTTACCTGACGGCTTTCTTAGAATCCAACCAGAAAAAACGCATGAACGCTTTTAGAAAAAGCATGAAGAGGGATGCCCATCTCCCACTTAGCACTTGGAAGCGGAGGAAGTTCCTGCTCTGATTAGCTGTGCAGTGGGAGATTTTTCTTAGAGCACCTGGTGATTAAGTGAAGCCTTGGTCGGGCTGTTGGCTTCCCCAGGTGGCTGGGGCTGGCAGGGGAGCAAGGTGCTGGCTGCTGCCACCTCGGCACTGTGGTGTGGCCCCTCCGGTGGTGTGGTGGAGGAGATATTTTTAGTAAAATTTCAATGCTAATTATTTATATAGCACTGATTTGCTATCAATGGAGGGAATATTTATAGATACCCACCTTTATTTTTCTCTGGAGATGTCATATACATCCTCCAAAAATAACCTCTTTTCAGAAGCAGATAATGCATTGAGTGATTCAAATGATAAGCTCGAAATCTCAATACCTTGTTTTATTTCTTACTCAGTTATGTCAATAATCTCTCTATTGAGTGTCATATTTGCTTGTTCGTGTATTCATTGAATTGCACTGGGAAATAACGTGTTAGTAAAAAAAATTATTATCGATGATTTTATTACTCAGCCTAATTGCAGAATAGTACTTATATATTAGGGGAGGGAAAAGCTACTAGCCAGGTTTATTGCAAGAAATAAGACACCCTAAAAGGCTTAGCTTCCTAAATAACCCAAGTCCATCCAGTTAAGCAGTATCCATCCACACAGACACTTGAAACTCTCAGCCAAAGCATCCCTGCTAGGTGGCAGGATATTCCGGCTGGAAGCAAGCCCTAGGGAGCGTACTTCTTACTGCATCAGCAGCAGGGGAGAGAAGCTGCACAGTCCTGTGGCTCGTACCTTAGTCCTGGATGAGCAATATGAACGTGAGTGCTTTCTGCTTTTCGTGCTGGATCCATACGGGGGAGCAGGGAGGAGAACAGCTGTGAATCCTAAAGCTGGAGGGAGTTCTGAAGAGTCAGCACGTTTACCTCAGACTTTGTCCTGACCTTCAAAATTGCAGGGGAAAGCAATCAGTCCCAAAAAGAGGTTTCTTCAGGACTTAGAGACTGTGTTTATCCTCCCCCTCTCTTATTTCAATTACCTAAACAATTGTAATTAAAAAAATGTATTTCACTGCAGCAAAGAAAACTGTAGAGCGGGAACTCTATTTTCTTTGCTGTGTGGCCCATAACTAACAAAGCATCAATTTCTTTATTACAGGATGAAAGCATATCTAAGAAATATGCTGCCAGTGGCATCAGGAGGAGCGTGGCACACAGCAGCATTTCTGAGCATTAATACTTTCATTTATTTTCAAATAGTTTGCAGAGCAGCCGCCACCTGGTATATACGCTGTGCACCATTAAATCAAATTGAACAAATGAGTCTGAAAGATTTTTTTTTTTGAGTTATTGTATCATTCAAACTGTACTGTCACAGTAAGGCAAAAGAAGAAACGTGTGCTATTAAATTTTGTTCTCACAGGAGGCTGTTCACTCGCCCATGCACTGTTTGCACAGAACTCGCTCTGGTAAATTTAGGGTGGCTGCTGCTCTGCATAGCAGTGGAGCAGATCCTCAAGTCTCACTGAAATATAGGAGAAGATGGGGATTACCAGTCCTTCCCGAGGAGCGAGAGCAGAACCCATTAAGGTATTGCAAGCCATGCAGTTCAATGGCCCTCGAAGTATAATTTGATTGTAATTCAGAAGGTTACTAAAAGGAAATCCATAGCAGGCTGCAAGATAAGAGAAGAGGGAGGTGTGTTTACTATGAGTGGTTAAATACGAGGTGTGCGAGTCCCTTATCTCTTTTGTCTGCAGTTTATCACCACTGAAGGCAAGTAAAAGGGGAATAACTTCTAGTTCACAAGGGAAGATTGGATTAAGCTTTGTAGAAGGTCTCATGGGAGTTATTTCCATATCACTTTCCTCTAGGTTAGCCTAACTCCTTCAGACTGTATCGACATCTGTAAAGAAGGTTTTGGAGCACAGGAGGGACAGGAGATGGGCACTGCTTTGTTTCTTCCTGGAGGAATTTGCCCTGGGCTTCTGTGAAGGAGTTGGGAGGCCTGCAAAGTCCTTCCTGAACGCAGGGCTTCTCGGACTGTGGGGTTCTTGTTTCAGGTTGCATTTTACGGTGCAAGCTTACTGCTTTGTATGGGTGTCTCTCACAGTGGTTCATTAGAATAGTTATTTAGTGAGAGAAACCTGTGTGCTTCAATACCTTGTTATGCCCTGCTCTGCAGCTCTGGCCACTTCATGTCAGGTTATGCCTGTGACATAGCTAATGACATACCGGGGTAGCCTTGCCATGGTTCATTTCTGTGCTATGATGCTGATATTTTTTTTTTCTCTGTTGCCGTGTACAGCCTTGGAATAAGCCCTTTGTAAAATACACCTGAACAAATGATAGATGCAAGCAGCGTAACAAAGAGCAACGTTCCCTGAGAGCTGGCAAGCACGTGAGGAGCCCTGATGTGCTGCAAGCTAATGTACTAATTTGGGTAGAAATTATGCAGCCTGGGTGCAAGGTGGCTCTTGATCATGGCTATTAGCATCAGGCAGGGTGGGTTAGCCATGTGAAGGGTGATTAAGGAGAGGAGAAGATGTTGTGGTTCAGATGTACTTACCGCCCAGACATACTCCATTTCTTATTCTTTCCTTTGAATGCTTCAGATATATCATAACTTTCTTTACATGCATGTATGTGAAAAAGAGAGAGCACTTAGAGAATATTACGTTTTACTCTTTGTAGTGATAGCTGAACTCAGAAGAGGACAGCCCACATAAACACTCATCACTCTGCAGCTCATAGCACGCTGTTTGCAAATGGGATGGGAGAGCCCCTGTGCATCTCCACGGCTCGGGCAGGTCACGGCGACAACATTTCAGCAGCCCTTGGAGCTGAAGCGAAGGGCAGCCTTCCCTGCCTTTGTGCTCTGAGCAGGCAGGCAGTGACACTTTCTTGCCCGCTGACGGACAGCACTGATCAGCACAGCATCTCTCCATTCACTTCAGACCTTTTATTTTGAAGGGCTGCACTGTGCTTTTTTTACCACTTCTTATTTCTCCGGTTGCTGTTGTAACCGCTGCATCTTCCTTGAGCTCCTAGGCACTACAAGACATCTCCTAGATGTTGAATCTTGTCATTTTTGATAAATCTCTGTGAACCACAGAGCTCGGCTGAAAGTGCAGTTCAGCATCCTGAAGTGCCAGTTTAATCTATTTCTAGCATTGAAAAAAAAAGGGGGGGGGA